AAAAAAGAGAACTTCATATCTCAGTAATTATCAGTGCTCTGTAATGAAAAATAGAAACGAAAGTATAACAGAAATTGTGTAAGAGTCCGTTTATCTAGCCTCGAACTCCTTCAAAAATTTATTAAATAAACTAGCAATGATTTAAAAAAATGTTATTTCACGGATCTATCGCGAATCTGCTTTGTACGTTATTGCAAGCTGTCTCGAACACGTAGAAAAACGCTAATTTCATTATAAAAAGTTTCTATTAAGCAATTGAATCGTTAATGAAATATCCAACTGATGGTTAAAATTGAAAGGAACGTTATTAATAACAATTTAACGATTGAAAGATATTTGATTGTTTGTCGCAACTGAAGTAGGAATTTAATCGTAATTAAAGACTATTCGGGAAAACTTCATTTTTTCGCCCCAACGCGAATCGAAAGGGGATAACATAAATGAACTGACAGTTCAAAACAATCGAGCAACAGTTTGTTGCAAGTACCTTCGATCTTTTAAAAGTTTTATTAAAATCGCAGGGTGAGGAATCCTGGATGAGACAAGCGTGGATGAACGTGTTGCCCGATAATTCGCGTGGCGAATTAAGGGATAATTTAGAGTTTACCGATGAAATAAACGCGCGCAGCGGAGTTTAACTAAACGTGAAACGCGTGAAAGAATTTAATTACCGGCCTTTCGGTGACGTCACGTCGCTAAATTATCCCGACTGAATCGAATGAAACAGCAACAACGGCGGCGATCGTGCCGCGTTACGCGCCGCTCGATTAGCCGGTAATTATCGGACGTGATTGGTCGGGGATTCGCAGGCTCTCACGCACGTTCGTAGTGAAACATCGGGGAAAGAACAGCGGAGTGGAGAGATGAATCGCTTGATTAAAAGGTTGAGTTCGTCAGCCCGTTTGATTTCCACAAGGACACGCGCGATTTAGCTTCGATCTCGATGAGAAGGTTTACGTGTACGATCGATTTCTTGCAAGTGAGTATCTCGAAAATGTACATGTCCGAACTTTGAGAAAGAAAGTATGTACAACGCGCTCGTACACTCTGCTCTTCGATCGATGTATTCATTCCAGATCGAGACCGAGCAAAGTTTCAATTAAATCTTCTTTCACTTAGCTTATGTAGGACCGCCATTTATTTTCTCGATATACTGCTTTCGTGGATCCATGCTTTTTATCGGTGTTTCCTCTGTAACCTTCTCCGTGACTCCGAGTCACCTACCGATTTTTCGACGAACGAGTAAAAAGTGCGAGCAATGTCTGAACACGTAATCGTATTTACAAGCACACAGGATTATGATTCGACGTAGAATGACGTGTGCATAAATCGATCCGTATGTACGTATATCGATCCGAATAGACAATCCGTCGATGTCGGAGGGAAAAAACTCGACTCGTCTCAATCAATGATAATCAAAAACCAATCAGAAGTACACGAAGCCCGCGGATGATAAATCAATAGAGGAGATACGCTGTTCGTTTAAGCAACCGAGGAAAATCGCATTTTCCGCGACGTCGGGTCGTCCATCCCTCGAACCACGCGAGTTCGATTTCACAGTTTTAATCCGATAACTCTCTGTCGTTTATCCTCTTATTTCCTCTCTCTCTCTCTCTCTCTCTCTTAAAGGATTTGGTAAATATTGCCGCTCGTCAAAGCTCGGAATTCACCCCGTACGCGGTAAATAAATCCGCCGGTGCCGCCTGCATTCGTCGACTTCACTCCGCAAATTACGAGCGGGACGATCGGGAAAAAGAAAGAGAAAAAGGGGAAAGAAGAAAGAGCGAAGGGGAGGCAAGAGGAGAAAAACAAGAAGGGGTTGAGAGAAAGGACTGTGTTTCCCAGTTGGTTTCGCATCGACCGTTTTACGAGGTGCTTTCACCAAGGCTCTTATTTCCTCGCATAACGAGCGTATCAAGCGAATCGTTCTAATTGCTTATCCGATTTAGCCTGATTATGCCGCCAATTTAACCGCGCGCCTCGCCCCTACGCGTGCCATCGTGCGCGTTCGTTTGTTTCGCCACGCCGTCGTCCACGCCGTGGTACACGCGACGATAAACGCTGATTGCATTTTCTCGAGGGTCGGTAATTAACGTCGTTACTCGCCCGTGAGTCGCCCAATTTCACCTCGTGAAATGCCGCGAGCACAGATCCGCCAGAATCGCGCTGCTTCGTCGCAACTCGTTGTTCACCATCTTGGTAATTACTTGTTATTTCTATTAAGCGAGCAGAGGCGAGTCGATTCATTATTTGGAACGTCGAAATGTCAATCTACTGGAAAAACACTCCCGGTACACTGAGTCAGTCGTACGTCTAGTCCGTATTTATTCCCGCGGTCTTTAGATAATTTTCGAACGTATGTTTACTAGATCTATGTTCTTCGTTTGACTAGGGCAAACTAGCATACATTCGCCCTACTAACCAATTTTTTCCCCGCCAGTCTGCAAACAAGAAAACACCAAGAGGATCATTCGCGTCACGAGCTAGACACGTCATATCGAGCCCTGCCTGATCGTGAAATTTTTAACGACACTCGCATTAACCTCGTGGAAACCAGCAAAGCGAGCTTGACGCCTTCATAAGCACCGCGCCGATAAACCAGCCCGATAATAAGGGTGGCTGGTACACAACGAGATGGTATCTCGCCGAAGGAACACGGAACGAGCTTTTTCACTGCGAGCCGCGGCAAGAATGGCGCACTTTCGGAAAGTAATGCAGCTGGGAATGGGCCTCTTAAGGGTGTGGTTACCGGGTGATACATAAAGCTTGGCAACGAGACCCGCGATGCTCTCGTTATCGTTGTTCGAGTCATCGAACCAGACGATAACTCTGTCACGCTGTTATCGTTACCTCGGGCGCGAACGGAGCCAGGCGGTCAGTCGCGATGAAGCATTTCTCGTTTGAGTTGCGTAAGAAAACTGAAGGATGGCTGTTGTTTCTGTCAGATTAGCCCCGCGGACTACGTGGAAATATCATCTGGAGCAGCTTTCTTCATGGAACGCAGTATACATTGAATTTGATCCAACAGCATGTCGTTCCAATATAAATTCATAATTTGACAATAAAAAATATATAGGCCTGAGAAATATAATAAACTCTTATTGAAAACGATATGATTCTAGAAATTGATATTTTTAGAATTATTTGAAATAATTTCTATGTCTTTTATTGTACTATTTAAATGAATTGATAAATTGAAAGAGAGGAAATTTACAGGAAATAAATGCGACGTGATAATTGCTGCTTGCTTGTTGTTTCTTCATCCACGAGCGAGGAAATTGTCGAAGGACTTCTCCCTCAAACATTTAAACGAAATCGACGAATGAATTTTAGAACCATCCTGAAAGAATCTCACTCGAAGGAAAAATTTTCTCGATAAGAGAAAATGACGATCGGTTCGACGACAGTATACTCCGCCATTTTAACGAAAATTATTTCCTAACGATCAAGCGACACCATCGCTCAACCGAATCCTAAAACGTACTGAATATTTGGCAACGAAATATTTGCCTCCAAATATTTACGATCATTATCGAGCGCGGTTTTCCGTGGTTGTGCAGTCGCGCGGAAATAAATCGGCGCGCGCGATCCCGCGGGGAAAATTATTAAAACGACGTTTATTGCATAAAACGGATCGTAAAAATATCGGCGGGACTGCTGGGCCCTCGCTCGTGGAAATCTATATCGACCGCGATCTATATCTATATCGCGATCTTTGAAATTTTGTTAAATTAAAATTATCCGGACACGTATTCTCCGCACTCAATGTTCCCCGCGATATTTTACCAAATATTTGTCGACCAGGCGGGATCGATATCTCGACGATTGAAAATATAGTGAAAAAAGAGAGAGCAAGAGAGAGAGAGAGAGAGAAAATACACGGCATAATTGGAAATATACATCAACGACGAACGCGATGCTCGAGCAGAAGCAAATAGATGCAATTACGCGTCGGAATGGAGGATCGAAATGAGCACGTGCGTTTCGATGCACATGTCAATACGCTGCCGCACGGCTAGATAATTAGATCAAGTTTGGCCATTTATTAGTCCTCTGCTTGCCACGGTCACATCAATTGGCCCCACAACTGTATGCATGCTAATCGCCTTTATGTAAATACGTGACGAATTCGTGATGCATAGTTTTGGGAACGCCGCTACCCCCGCGAATCTTCAATGACACGAGACGAAAAGTGCAACTTTTGCTGACACACCTGACGTTTGAACGAGAGCGAGTTTTAAATTTATTAATTCGGGCGAGTAACTCGAGAATAGAAGGTCAAATAATGAATTGTATCGACAAATATTTTGGACAAAGGTTGAACGGTTTTATAGAGAATAATATACGATTTCACGCAGAGAAACAAACCTGACTTCCAAACGCCTTCTACGTACGTATCAATATTAAAAAAATATCAACAATAAAAATATTAAAAAAATATATCATTAAAATTAACGCCCCATTCAAAGCCATTCAACTTTTGTCCAAAGTATTTTTTTGATGTGTATTATTTCCATTGATAATCAATCGTTTCGAAGATATTTCAACTTCTAGTCTTAGATGACTCACCCGGTACGTTAAGCCGATATCAGATTAGACGCCAGTCCATGTGAGAAATATGGTCCGTTCCCTTTCACGGTAAAACCTTTCAAAGATAGATAAAGATTTGGAAAACTCTGATTTCATCCAGAACAAACTCTTGCAAACGACGCCGATTAATTAATGAATTATGCACGGTGAACTGTGTCGATGACGAACAGTGTCTATTAGACGCGTTAACACGTTCCGTGCCATGTGTACCAGCGGTGGTACACGTTAAACTTGA